TGGATATAGCTCGCTCACACAGAGGACTTATCCACGTCATCATTTACCCAGAATGCTTTGCGTGTAAATAAAATGGCTCTGTCTGTGTTAAAATGTTTTTTAAAAATGATAAAAACTACAGTTAAAGTATATGTTTATCAAATAAAGTCTAATGTTACAACTAATCGGGGATCCCTTTAATAATAAACCAAAAGTCAGTATCTCAGAAAATTAGAACATCACATAGAAAGCTTTAGGTGCCTGGTGCTTTTACTTTAATTAAAAACCTTTTGTCTACATTTGTTTGGCAGTTTTTAAAAATCAAATACTATTTTTGTGTTCGCTATTTTCCAAACGGCATTTTTGTCCGAGCAAATCAGTTTGTTGCCCACCTCTTATCTGCTGAGAAGACCTGCCTTTGCCCGTTACTGGCTTTTTGTTTACATCAACTCCTTCCAGATACGGTCTAAATCATTTATTGAGTGAGTGTACGAGGTCTGATGGAACGCCTACCCACAAACAGCTGGCTGCTGAGCTGGAGGCGGAGGTGTCCATCTGCCGGAGCCTCCAGGAAGCGGAGGGGCAGCTGATCAACCTGCAGGGAGGCCTCCTTTACATTTCGCTCTGCCCTCACGTAGTGCCACTGTCTGTCATTCAGGGGGAGGTGAGACTTCACGGACAGGACCGCCGGACCGTTGCCCACATCAAATGAGAAAGTCACCACCAAAGGGGCTGAGAGYCACACACATACACACACAAAGCAGTCAGATCAGACTGAATGTGATATGAGGTTTTATATGTTCTTCTCTATCCTGCCTTTCTGATGCAACACGATACAATGGTGCTGAAAACTCGATGACCTGCACAGATTTCTACGAAGGCTAAGCTGACAGCTTGTCAATATTTCACAGTGTTTCTGATGCTGCAGTAATACATAATGGCTCCAAATATCCTCACAGCTCCACCCTCAGGTTTGTGAAGCAAACACCAGAGAATTCAGACAAACAGCTGCTGGCGCTTCCCTGGGACTTCAACCACTGCTAACGTAAAGCTTGTGTTACAACATTCCTTCATGCAAATTCTTCAGAAAATATTTACTCCTTTTTCTATTGTTGTAGTAAATCTGAGTTTCTTTTTAACATTTTCTTTCAGCTTTACCCATTTGGCAAATTTATCAAGCTTTTATATGTGTGCGACAGCAAAGCTATTGCTTTTGACTGTGCCTCAGAGATTACATCATGCTGTGCGAGCTGACAGGCTGCTTCTCTAGGAAATTGAAATGTCAACTTCAGTATATCCAAAGAAGAGCAAAATATATCGCTGATAGCTTTTGTGGACACTTTTTTTTTCCCTACATGGACACTCTGGTGCAGTTTGCAGTCTTATCGTGTGCTGTGTTCTTCTTCAAGTGATGTTGAGCATCACTCACAGCTGAGCTCCAGTCTGATGAAGTCCTTCAGGCCCTGGTTCTCCAGGAATACTCCCGAGGGAGAGCTGGTCTTGAAGTAGAAGGAGATGTCAGAGGCCAGCTCTGCCTGCAGGGTGGGGAAGTACAGGTACGAGGATTCCTGGTAGAATGAGGCTGCATTCCAGATAGAGTCTGAAAGAGGAAAAAAAAACAGTAAAGGAGGAGGAAAGACGTCTTTTAGTTGTGTTAGATGTTCCTGCATCTTTAGTTCGTATACATTATGTAGCTGCAACAGTTTAAAGGGGCAAAATCATGTAAAATCAACTTTTTTGAGTTTTATATCATGCTATAATGTTATACTCTCATAAAAAAACATGTCCGAAGCCTTGCTCTGACTCATTCATGCATGTTTGAGAAATCCTGCAGCATTTTTAGGAAGTCATGCTGAGGAGCAAAACGACAGGTGGGGAC